AATTTTATATTTTCGCTAAATTTCACTATTTATCTTTTAATTGGAATCTCATAAGACTTCCAATAGTTTATGAGTGATTCTAAACATAGTTTTACCTTATTTCTAGTAAAAACTATCTGTTAGAACTCAATACTCAATATCACATAAGATTTCATAATATTATTTATATAAAACACGATCTCAAAACGTGTATGTTATATTAGTATCGTACATAGGCCATACCATAAATAAACCTGGAACGCGTGCCTATGTTATTTATGGTCGAGCTGGTGAACAACCAACCTTGAGCGACGAGTTTGACAGACTACAATGGTTGAGAGTTTTAGAGATTGAAGGATGTTCTCAAGATTCATTGCAGAATCCTTATGTCAACCCTCAAACACTTATTCATTTAGAAACATATCATTACTCAATATAAAATCACTATCGGTTAAGATTCAATCTCTACCATTTGGAAACCCAGAGACATTCTGAATTGACCAACCTATCATTTGGAAAATCGATATGATTTCAATAATAAATCTTACCGTATAATCTGGGAATCTATGAGATTCTAGGAAACAAATTTTACTAATACCCTATTTTAAAATACTTGTTTATGACTAAGTAACTTAAGTGTGTCTTTTCTAAACATTTAGGATAAAGCCCTCGGAGGAATCCACAAGTTCACCCGTCAGCATCATTTCAAATGGATTCAACACTAGTACAGACCCTAATTGCGCAAGGAATCTCCACAGCCTTAGTTGCATATGAGGTTGCCCGAGGCGAAAACTCCGGAAACAATAGAAATGGTGGCGACACTCTAGTGATTAACCAAAACAATCCAAGGCCTTGTTCATACAAGGATTTCTTAGCTTACCAACCTCAATCCTTTTATGGTACGGAAGGAGCCGTTGGTCTATCCCGCTGGATAGAGTCGATGGAGGCAGTGTTCCGCCTCAACTCTTGCGATGATGACTGCCGAGTTAAGTATGCTACTTGCGCGTTAATGGATTTCACCCTGGCTTGGTGGAATGACCATATCAAGTCCGTAGGGGTCGACGTGGCCTATGCCATCACTTGGGAAGCCTTGAAGCAGATGTTAATCAAGGAATATTGTTCTCAACATGAAATCCAAGCCCTAGAACAAGAATTGTGGAACATTACTATGAAAGAGTCAGATGTGACTGCCTATACGTCCAGTTTCAATGAGCTCACTAACCTTTGTATGGGAATAGTAAACTCGGAATACAAAAAGATTGAAAGGTACATCGGGGGACTAAGTCCCACGATTCGAGGTCTAGTTGCTACGTCCAGGCCCACTACCTTTGATGACGCTAAGCAATTGGCGTATCATTTGACTGAACATGATCTTCGTCCGAGTACCACGACCCAACAAACAGGACAGAACCATGCAGAGTGAGTAAGAAGAGGAAATACCCTGAGAAGTCCAAAGGAAACTTCAAACTCCTGAGGCCCAAATCAGAACCTATGACTATCAACGCCACAAGCCCAAACACTCCCACCCTATCCAAGTCCTACAATGGGACACTTCCCCAATGCACTAAATGCAATTTCCATCATGTCGGGAATTGCAGGGATGTAATCTGCAAAAAATTGTAACAAGAAAGGTCACATCTCGAGGTACTATAGAAAAACCTCAACCACTACAGCAAGAGGAAGCCGAAATCGCTATGGATGCAACCAATCAAGGCATTTTAAGAAGGACTACCCAAAACTGAAGAATCGGGGTGGCAAAGGAAGAACACTTATGACTGGGACAGGAGATGCTCGCCATGACCCAACTGAGATTAATGGTACGTTTACTGCCAACAATATTTATGTTTTCAGTATTAGTAAACCTTGATACCGATAGAAACTTTAATGATCGTAGGTTTAGAAACATGATAAAACATAAATTCTACACACTTAATAAAACTTACATGGTAGGAATGACAATCGGCCAAGTAGAATGCACCTTAGAAATACTTACCAATTTCCTTCTCATCCTAAATAACCACGTCTTTCACATCGGTATAATACCCATGACCATTGGAATTTTAGATGTGAGCATCGGAATGGATTGGTTATCGCCTCGTCGAACCGAAGTTTATGCTAAGAAAGCCATCCGACTACCAAGAACTAATTGACAAAGACTCTATCCGGCCAAGTTCTCACCTTGGGAGCTCCGGTGTTACTTATCAAAGAGAAGCATGGATCGTTCAAGATATGCATCGACTATCGAGAGTTAAACCAATACCCACTCCCGAGGATCGATGACATGTTCGACCAGTTGCAAGGACCCCGTTACCACTCGAAGATCGAACTAAGATCTGATATTCATCAACTCAGAGTTCAAGAAGAAGTCACTCCCAATACGACATTCAGGACCTGGTACGGTCACTATGAATTCTTGGTTATGCCCTTCGGGTTGACCCATGCACCGAAAATATTCATGGATCTTATGAACCGAGTGTGCAAACCCCGTTTGTACAAGTTCGAGATCGTGTTTATCGATGATATTATAACAGACTCACAAACCAAGGAATAATATGGACATCACTTGTGTTTGATTCTGGAATTACTAAGGAAGGAGAAACTTTATGCAAGGTTCTTAGAATGCGAATTATGGATCAACGAGAAGCGTTTCCTTGATCATGTGGTCAATAGAAAAGGAATTCATAGTGAACCTGCAAAGATTGAAGCAAATACGGATTGGAAAGAACCAATGACATCAACCGAAGTACGCTAATTATTAAGGATTATGGGGTATTACCAGAGATTCATCGAGAATTTCTCTAAAATGGCCAAGCCTCCAACTTCTCTAACCCAGAAAGACAAGAAATCCGATTGGGTGGACAGTCAAGGGTCTACCTAGCAGAGATTGAAACAATCGTTGTGCAGTGCACCGATCCTTCCTTTCCCCAGAGGAACCAAAAGACTTGGTAGCATTCTGCGATGCCTCTCACCAAGGATTAAGATGCATGCTGATGCAAAGGAATGAAGCCATTGTATACACATCCAGACAACTTAAGTCAAACGAGATGAACTACACTTACCACGACTTAGGGCTAGGAGCTGTAATGTTTTCCTTAAAGAATTAGAGGCACTACCTATATGGAACGAAGGGTGTCATGTTCACCAATCACGAAAACCTCCAACACACCTTTGATCGGAAGGAGCTCACCAAGAGACAACGAAGGTGGTTTATATTGCTAAATGATTACGACTGCGAAATTCGTCGTCATCCCGGTAAAGAAAAGGTTGAAGCACATGCTTTGAATAGGAATGAACGAGCAAAACCACTTCGCGTAAAGGCTCTAACCATAACAATCCGCTCTAGTCTCACCACCCAAATTCGAGCCGTCCAACTGGAAGCTCTCAAACCCGAAAACATCATGTGAGAGAACCTACGGGGAATGGACAAACAGTTTGAAGCCAAAAAATACGGAACACAATATTTGATGAACCGAATTTGGACCCGAAGGTCTGGTGAAGTTAGGAACCTAGATTTAAACGAAGCTCCTATGTCGAGATATTTGATACATCTCGGGATATGACAAGATGTATCTAGATCTTAAGAAGCCTTATTGGTAGCCCAACATGAAGGCAGAGATTGCCATGTATGTCGATAAATGCTTGACTTGGGCCAAAGTCAAAGCAGAGTACCAGAAGCCATCAGGACTACTACAACAACCATCGATTCTGGAATGAAAATGGGAACATAGCCAGGACCATGGATAGCGAAGTTACTGAAGACTTCGAGCGGTTATGACACCACCTGGATAGTGATTGGCCGTCTAATAAAGTCTGCTCATTTTCTAGCCATTAAAGAAATTGAAAAGATGGAGAAACTTACCTGGACCTACATCAAGTAGTCAGGTTGCACGGAGTACCAATATCCATTATCTCGGACAGAGATAGTATATTCACTTTCAGGTTTTGGCAATCGTTGCGGATATATCTAGGAACCAAACCAGATGTGAGTACTGAATATCACCCTCAAATAAATGGATATAGCGAAAGTCTGATGGAACTCTCGTAGAGGGCCGAAGTTTACTTAGGAATGAAAAGACCAAAATAAGCAGAAGTACCCACCACTGTTCAATGGTGTCCCCTCCACTAGTTGAACGAAATAGTTGTATGAACAAAATAGTTGTAGGAACGAGATAATTTCGGGACGAAATTCCTGTAACGGGGAGGTAATGTGACATCCCGAAATTTAGGGTTGAATCTGCAAACGGTCAGATTACCGCAAACGTTTTGTATCTTGACCGATTGAATTTTTAATACATATTTTAGTAGAAATATAATGTAATATCAAGTACAATAAGATAAGAAATTGTATCTTATCTCAAATTATGGAAAATGTCGAACGAAACTTAAGACACAAACTATAACTCTAGTTAACGATTGAAAAACTAAAGTTTTGTATTCAGTGTCGGTGAACAAAGAAACTATTCTAAACTCGTAGTACATGTTTCCCTGATCGCGGATATATAAAGAACGTCTAAAACGGAGTCCGTATGCAAAAGATATTATCGTTTTAAGAAACCAAACCGGTGTAACATTGACTTTATCTGATTTCGTAAACCATATTTGATTCGTTGTGGCACTTGCATATCTCCGATAGAAACTCTGAGAGCGTTTTTGGACTCAGACTAAGGTCTAATATTTTATTTACTACTCGAAATATTTATAGTATAAATATTTGTAAAAGTCAGAAAAACCAGACGTTTCATACCAATTAGACGCGAAACTTTAAACGCAAACTCCTAGAGTTTTACAACTCGAAAAATTTATCCGTTCGGGTTTTTAGAATCATTGAATTAAAATCTATCATTCAGCACTTTCGGAAAAATTATCCGACATCGAGAATTGGACACGCGAAATGAGATTCGTTTTAAGGCTTAATGAGATTTTATACTTTGGTGAAAAAAAAAGAATAAATATAATAATAATGAACAACAACCCATTTACATCTCTCTATCACGTGATCTCTCACTCCCTCTCTCCCTCTCATGTCTCTATCTCTCTTATCTACCACCATTTACATCTCTCTCTCACGTGATCTCTCACTCCCTCTCTCCCTCTCATGTCTCTATCTCTCTTATCTACCACCTCTGGACTCTTGTAAAGGTCAAAGGCCATGCAAGGGGGGAAAGTCCAGGTTCGACTTTCAAGTCGACTCAGGAAGTGAAACATACAAATGGTGAAAGAAGTAAGCTGGCTTGTTTCCTTGAATTACGCTCACAAACGTCCACCACCACCATCTTCTTGTGAGTTTCTTTGCTTATCAAATTAGACCTTGGTGTTATGGTTCCTCACACCCATTTCATCAGCCCTATAACTTCACTTTCCTTGCAAACTAATTCTCTCTCTCTAGATCCATCTCCCCCCCCCCCCCCCCCCCCCCCCCCCCTCACGGTTCATACACACCACCTTTGACCACCGAGAACCACCCTCAATCAACTACCCTTCACGTTTTCTGTTTACCTTCTTCCTTCACTACCGAGAATAATCACCACCAAGGGGTGGTGGTGTTGTTGTTGTGTGTAACCATCAAACATCACCCTAAGTACCCTCAAAACACCGCCAGCTACTGCCAACCTTCCGGTCTTAGTGTTGAACCACCGCTGTGGAGCCACAAACCACTGCAGCCCCACCGTAAACCACCAACCTTACACCATCATCCTTGTGACCATCGAACATCACCAAGAACCACCACACATCCACTGTTTTGGTGGAGTTCCACCATCATCAACTGATTGCTAAACTTTTTCTAAACGTGTCCTTGCTAAAAGTCGCCGGAAAACGCCACCCACCGCTCACTACCGACGAGAGGAGCACCCAACAGCCTCCATCATCGGCAATGTTGTTGTTTCTGATCATCACCGTCTCCCTACATCCTTCCTTTCGTATTTTCCATCGAGTTTAAGCAGAAGAGAAGCAACAGAAGGCCGCCGGAGCAACCCCCTGCCGCTCAAACGCCGCCGACCGCCGCCATCGCCGGACTTGCTGCTGCCGACGCTAACCACTCACGACCACCGCCTACCCACTGTAAACCCTTTCGCCATCACCATCATTTGTGTTTTAGCGCTTACGAACAACCGAGGCCACGAGACCCAGCAGATGGGTCTCGTTTCCCTTTATTCAACTGTGAATCACGTCTAAGAATGAGGAAGACGAATTGTGGAAACATTGATACGTTTTAATTAAATGTGACCCTCAAGTTGCTGATTTGTATGACAATGGCCCCTCATGGGGATTTACTTATCACACTAAGTTAAACTTGCATTAAAATGTTCAAGAATGGCCCCTCCACCCGAAAAACCCAGCAAACCAAGTCCTGGAACCTTGAATTAGGTTAAAATGTGCATATTAGACCCCTGGTTTTGAGAATCGTTTGCAAGATCCGTCCCTAGTGTATGATTTTTGCAAAAATAACCCCTAGAGTTTAATTATTTTAACTAAGGCCACCCTATACTTAATAAGTAATACTAAAACTACCCTTGGTTTTATTAGGTAACATAAATAGAGCCGGTGATTCGTTTTAAGGGCACGGGACGTCACGAAACGACTTTCACGACAAATTTCACCATCGAGCCTCGTTCACGCTTCAAGGGTGAGTGTTTACGGGCCCTTTTTAATATTTTTACGCTTTGGGGGAGAATACATGTGCTATATATATTTATTGATCTTGACAAACACTTACCAATTTCAAAACTAGTTTATAAATATTATTTTCTTAAATAATATTTCATATACAAATAAACTAGTGATAAATATGTTTGATGTAAATACGTTACAGTTGTTTTTTTTTTAATAATACAACTAGTCGAGATAACAAATGATTTCTGCATACAAAATATCATGATTTTATGACAAAATATGTTATAAAACTTATGTCATAAAAAATTACCACATTTGTAGTATTTCAAGTTCATACCAAACATACATGTACGAGTTATCAAACTCTTATCTTGAAATCATTTATGTACTGTGTACACTACCATGAGATTTACCAGTTGTTTAAACGAGCATTACACATTTTTATGGATTTTCCTATCGAGTATAACCGGTTTTTCATGACAAACTCTAGTTAAGGGCCTTATGAGTGAGACATCATTCATTACCCTAAGTGCAAACAAACATTTAGAAGACCCACACCACTATAACCGTTAATCTTCGGAGCTGAGATACGTATGTATAGATCTATACGGGTTGACACCCCACCCGTGGGTGTTAGCTACAACCTCGACCGATCAATCGAAGCAGGTGATAAATATCTAAAACATTTTTATGACGCCCAATGAAGCGTCGTAGGGGTAGGTACAGTCACATAGTTCGGTTATAAGACTCACTATAAGCGTTAACTAGATCTCATAATCTAGAAACCACGGATCCGGTTTCTCTGATTATCAAACATTTTGAGTATGGATTTACTCACGGTTCGCTAAGTACCAAACATTTTCAGTATGGATTTACTCACAGTTTCTCGGATTACCAAACATTTTGAGTATGGATTTACTCACAGTTTCTCTGATTAGTAAACATTTTGAGTATGGATTTACTTACGGTTCTCTGATCACCAAACATTTAAGTATAGATTTACTCACGGTTTCTCCGATTACCAAACATTTTGAGTATGGATTTACTCACGGTTTCTCTGAATATTAAACATTTTGAGAATGGATTTACTCATGGTTTCACTGATTACCAAACATTTTAAGTACGAATTTACTTACGATTTCTCTGCCTATCAAATATTTTAAGTATGAATTTGCTTACAATTTCTCTTTTATCAATCATGGTTCAAACTACAAAAAGAATACTTTTTAGTCATTTAAAGTATCATTACTGCGGTTAGCAGAAAACCTGTAAACTCTCACCAACCTTGTGTTGACCCTCAAAAATACAGGTATTCTCAGGATATCACCAAACGAGCTATCAGTCAGAAGATTAGTCATGGATTTCAGGTGATCTAGTTTTATCTAGCTTTTGTTATATCGGCCTATATGTTAAGGCAAATTTATGAATTTATTATTATGAACCTTGTATTTAAACCTTAAAGTGTAATGTGACTGCTATGTTGTTATTGTTGTAACTTGTGATGTATAGTCAATTTGTTTGTGATCCATGAACTAAGTCGCACAGCCCGACGTATTCCGCCGCCTCGGCCAGGGGTGTGACATTAAGCCCTTAAACTCTCATCCCATCGTCCCAAAACACAGATCTGATGTCCAAAGGTGGACAAATCACGTAAAGTTTCTAACTTTACGTCCATGTATGCTTGAAACTCTCCAAGGTCCATTTTAGGCTTCATAGTGGACATATTGCATGAATGGGACATGGAGGCTATTAAATTTTGCAACTTTAATCTTCTAGAGGTCTTATAGAGACCAGATCTACACCCTCAACCTCTGGAAACCTCTTTTCTTTGGACATCCAAGACAAAGTCCCAAACCCAAGCCCTAAACTACAAAAGATGAGATCTAATAAGCTATATGTCAAGGTTATGACTTTATACCTCCAAGATGCAGCCTTTGATGTAGAGTTTCTGGATCCAAGATCTCCCTTCCAGGATCGATACTCCTCTCTTCAAAACCTCCTTCAAAGATCTCAATAATCAATCAAACACTCACAAAACTCAATGAACAAGGAGGAAGACGATTCTAGGGTTTTCTCTGGGCAAGGAGGCTGGTAAGGAGGCCAGCCCTAGAAGTTAAGTCCTTTAAATAGGGTACACTGCCTGAAAATTAGGGTTTTCCTTTCTAGTGCTAACTCGTCGAGTTAGGGCGTTCCAACTCGTCGAGTAGACCCTTAATCCCGCGTCCAAATAGATCCCTACACGACGAGTTGGATATCCCCAACTCATCGAGTTCCAGCCCAAACCTTAAAATGTTGAGAAATAAAATAATGGTTGGATCAAGCATTAAAAAATCTCCCCCACTTGAACTAGACTTCGTCCTCGAAGTCTGTTGACGCAAACAAACCCGGGTAATGCTCTCGCATCTCATCCTCCGGCTCCCATGTCCATTTCGATCCCTTCTGGTGCTGCCATTGCACCTTTACTAGCATCACCTATTTGTTATGAAGAACCTTAGTTTTCTTATCCAAAACCGCAACGGGCCTCTCAATGTAGTTTAGGCTCTCATCCACCTGAATGTCTTCAAAAGAAATAACCACGGCCTCGTCTCTGACACACTTCTGAAGCTGAGAGATATGGAAGGTGTTGTGAGTCTGGCTAAGCTCGTCCGATCGATCCAAACGGTAAGCCACCTTGCCCACCCGGGCAGAAATCCTGAACGGACCAATATATCGAGGCCCTAACTTTTCCCTCTTCCGAAACCTAATGACACCCTACTATGGTGACACTTTCAGCAAAACGAAGTCTCCCACCTGGAACTCGAGATCCGAGCGACGCCGATTAGCATAACTTTTTCTAGACGGCTCAGCGCGACTCGTAGTCTGTTGCGCACCTACTGAATCAATTCGGTGGTCTTAAGCACCACCTTTGTGCTTCCCATAACTTGGTACCCAACCTCACCCCAACAAACTGGAGTCCTACATCTCCGAGCATACATCATCTCAAACGGGGGTCGGTCGATACTAGCATGGTAACTATTGTTATACGAAAACTCTGCTAGTGGGAGGTATGCATCCCAAATCCCTCCGAAATCCAATACGCATGCCTGAAGCATATCCTCGAGCGTCTGGATCGTCCGCTTGCTCTGGCCATCTTTTTGGGGATGGTAAGTGGTGCTGAAATGTAACTGCGTTCCCAACTCTTTGTGGAACTTCCTCCAAAATCTGGGTGTAAAACGGACATCCCGATCAGAGACTACCGGTACTAGCACCCCGTGCCTGACCACCACCTCTCGTACATAAATATATCTGCTAATTTCTCAGCAGAGATGCTCTTGAAAATTAGAATACAATGAGAACTCTTCGTCAACCTGTCCACAATGACCCAAATGTAATCCATACCCCTCGCCGTCCTCGGTAACTTCGTGATGAAGTCCATGGTAATCTCTTCCCATTTCCACATAGGAATGGGTAGCGGTTGAACCTTGTCGTGAGGCCTCTGATGTTCGGCTTTGACCTTCCTGCAGGTCAAGTACCGCTCCACAAACCATGTGATTTCCTATTTCATGCAGGGCCACCAGTAACTCAGCCTCAGATCTCTGTACATCTTTGTGGCCCCGGATTAATAGAGAACTTGGACTTGTGTGCCTCCTCCAAGATCTTCTGTCTCACACCCCCGGATACCGGTACCCATACCCGACCACACCGTGTCATAAGACATCGACTATCCCGAACAAACAATGGAATCTAACCCCAAATCCTCTCTATCTTCCTGTTCTCTTTCTTCAAACCCTCCATCTGAGCCTCCTTGATCATATCCAACAATAGGGAAATCACCGTCATTCTCAAACAAACATCCCTAATCGGAGCATTTTCCACCTTGCGGCTCAAGGCATCGGTCACCACATTGGCCTTCCCTGGGTGGTACAAAATCTTGCAATCATAATCCTTCAGTACATCCGACCACCTCATTTGCCGCATGTTAAGATTCTGCTGATCCATCAAATACTTCAAACTTTTGTGGTCAGTAAAGATGGTGCACCGAACTCCGTACAAGTAATACCACCAGATTTTGAGGGCAAACACCATTGTCCCCATTTCCAGGTCGTGAGTGGGGTAGTTCGCCTCATGAGGCTTCAGCTTCCTCGAGGCGTATGCGATCACATGCCCCCTCTGCATCAAAATAGCACCTAACCCTGTGATAGACGCATCACAATACACCACCAGATCATCCAATCCTTCGGTTAGGGCTAAAATCGGGGCCTCACATAACCTCTGTCTCAAGGTCTCGAAAGCCAACAGTTGGTCCGGGCCCCACCAAAAAGTCACATTCTTCTTGGTCAAGGGAGTCAAAGGTACGACGATCTTGGAGAAATCCTGGATGAATCTCCGATATTACCCCGCTAGACCCAAGAAGCTACGAATCTCATATGCATTCTTTGGTACATCCCACCGCATCACTACCTCAATCTTGGATAGATCAACCAAAATATCCTCTTGGTTGATGATGTGCCCAAAAACTGCACCTCTCGCAACCAGAAATCACACATTTGAGAACTTGGCATAAAGCCTTTCCGTCCTCAGTGTCTCCAATACGTCCCTCGGATGTTGATCATGCTGCTCCTTGGTTTTAGAATAGACCAAGAAATCATCGATAAAAATGATCACTGACCGATCCAACATCGGCCTACACACCCTGTTCATGAGATCCATGAACGCTATTAGGGAATTGGTGAGCCCGAATGGCATCACCATGAACTCGTAGTGACCGTACCGAGTCCTGAAAGCTGTCTTCGGTATATCCTCATACCTAATCCTCATCTCATGGTACCCCGACCGAAGATCAATCTTGGAAAACCAAGATGCACCATGCAACTGATCGAACAAATCATCGATACTCGGAAGCGGGTAAGGGTTTTTCACCGTTAGCTTGTTCAGCTCCCGATAATCAATGCACATCCCGTGTCAGCCGTCCTTCTTCTTCACGAACAGAATCGGTGCTCCCCACGTGGAAATACTCGGACGAATGAACCCTCGGTCTAGCACCTCCTGGAGCTGCGTAGACAGCTCCTGCATCTTGGATGGAGCTAGTCGGTACAGTGCCTTAGCTATCGGAGCGGCAACCAACACCAAATCAATGTGAAACTCTACTTGCCTCTCCTGAGGCCCCCATGCAACTCCTCGGGAAAGACATCCCGGAAATCTCATACAACCGGTAAACTGTCCAAATCTGTCGTGGTCTCAACCCTCGTATTCGAGATGTATGCCAGAAATTCCGAACAACGCTGATGGGGAAGTGTCCTAGCCCTCGCATCCGAACAGAGAGTTGGCCCCTGCGAGGCCCTCTCTCCCTGAATAACCTGTTCTCCCCCACTTGGGGTTCAAACTCTCACCAGTTGGTGCTTGCAGTCTATGATGGCCCCATTGACACGAAACCTCTGCCCAAACACATTTAGGACACAATATCGATATACCCTCGCAGCACTCACATTGCAGTCATCCACAATCTCAACCTCAAGTGGGGAATCCAAAGTCCCCGAAGCATCACGAAACTTCTTGCTAAGAGCAAGAGATACGAACGATCGGTTAGCTCCGTAATCGAAAAGAACATGAGCTGACATACCATTGACCAAAAAGGTCCCAGCCGCGACGTCTGGCGCTGCGTGAGCCTCCTCTGTGGTCAACTGAAATGCGCCGCTCTTCACCGCAGGAGGATCCGCCTTGGCAGGGCGGCCATCAGTGATCCTCATTGTGGCGGGCGCAGGCGCCATCACCCCTCCTCCTCCTACCCACAACCTCGGACAATCGCCCTTTTTATGACCGGTATGGTTGCAATCGAAACAAATCAAGCCCTTCTTGGGGCAGTCCCTGCTCATGTGGCCCGGCTGGCCACATACGTAACTGTTGGATTAGTGTCTAAGTCCATAACTATTTTGGTATGTACTTGACCCGATTATGAGCATGGTCCTTTTGGGTTGCCTTCACCATAGCAATATGTAGGATGAATTAAGGAGAGAAAGGTTTAATTATGATTTATTAATATATTATAAGAATAATATATTAAAGGAGAAATCATATTGTTTAATTAATATTAGTCAAGAATTAATTAAGAATTAATTTTGTGACTAAAAGAGATTAATTAAACTTAAGGGACTTATTGTGTAATTATAAGATAATTACATAATTGGGCTATGGATCACCTTGGAATAATTCTATGGGGAAGCCCATTAGAAATCGTCCAAGGCATGTTCCAGAAGGGGTCCATGGACTGCTTAGAGCTTAAGCAGTCAAATTAGGGTTTCCTTGTTAGATAACCCTAATTGCCTACCTATTTAAGGAGCCCCTAAGCCCCAAAAACGTGGACAAGTAATCCTTTAGGGTTTCCAGCCGTTTTGGTGCCTCCTCTCTCCTCCCTCTTCATCCAAGTTGCTTAGTGGTGTTTGTGACTCCATTAGAGGTGCAACACTTGAGGCACTAAGCTTTCTGAAGCCAATCAAAGCAAGGA